ATGACCCTTTATGTATGAAAGTGTATGCGTTATAAAAGAAAAAATAAATAAAAGCCCCAGATAACAGTAAACAAATTAGAATATTATCATGGACCATTAACAATTTAAGGAGACCTTGGCAAACTATTAGAGTACTTCTAAGGAACAGCAATATTAAAATTTAATTCTAATATTTCAAGCAAAATTACACTAATAAAATCTGAGTTATGTACCAAAATTTGCACCTAAGAATTAGTACAATTCTTGGCACAATTATTTTTATTTACTCATAGGTTACTTGTTGTTATAAATCTCATTTACAATCTATATCAAGAAAATCTGCTACAAAAGAAACCTACGGAAATAAATTGCAGCACCATAAGAATCTCAGATTCTTTAAATTCTTCTTTAAAAATAAAGAATAAATATATTTCCAATTGCATGCCTCACTTATGCGCAATGGTCACTCAAAAGTCATGACAGAATCCATGACTTGTTACAAATAAAGAATAAATTTGAAAGGTACACATTACAACTGAAGGGATTTAGGCCAGCAGATGTTGTTCAGCCAAAATATAGTGTCACTACATAAAACATTACATTTCATCAGTCCCCTCCAAAGGAAATCTATGCAGGTGAGTGTTAGGGAGTCCTGAAGATGTGCTGTAATATGCAAAATAAGACCTCTGAGCCCAAGCCAACTCTGACTGATCTGTCAGATCAGAGTCCCCAACCTGAATTCATTCACACCCCAGACAAAAAAAAACAAGTAAAATTCATGGGTGTAGCAGGATATATTATCCCTTGAAAAAATGGCCAAAAATTATAGTTGGGGCATGCGTCCAAGGGAACAAACCAGCATTCCTGTCATGTAGCAATATTCTCCGACACAAATTTTAATCATCATACAGTATTTTGATTCAGGAAATGCTGCTTTCTGTAAAGTAACCCACAAATCACCAACTGGTCTGGACTGGATAAGCGAAGTTGCAATTTTAATAATCACATGGTGTGTACACTTGGGGTTTTCAATATTAACAGAAGTCTTATATTAAGTTTTGGCTTTGATATTTAAAAGAAAGTCTTGCAGAGTATTTTTTCTATTTATCTGCAGTTCTAAAAAATACACACTCCCTTTTCATATCCAGTCACAATTTATTGTTTTGCCAATAAAAAGTTGGTTTCTTACAAAGTTCTTTCCATTTCTCACAATTATTTTATGATGTCTTCCAATAAAGCTGTATAAGGCAACACTGAGCAATGCCTATTGGTATATGTATATGCTTCTTTGAATATGTATTTTAGTCGGGTATGTAGTTAGACACTCATTTTATGTGCTAGAACTCATCCCACTTGGCTACCCTACCCTATCACCATATAAAAACTCTAATTTTTCTCTCTGGCTTCTAGTTCATTTGTGTTGTTTTTAAGTATTGTTGAAAACCCTAAATAATTCAAGAAAAAAAAAATACAGTGGCTTTCTTGGCTAGGCTTCTGCCATTGGAATTGGAGCTCCCAATGACACTTCATTCCTGAGAGCAAGGTCCCTCAAAGCTCTATTGTTTTCTCTTTAATCAACTGTTATGGCTCACTGGTAGTAGTTAATAGAAACAAAAGATAATCAGTCGGGGAGTATAAAAGAATAGGTATTTCCCAAAAGGAAATTTACTTTCTAAGGTGGCAAGGGCAATTGTTTTCTCAGCTTAAATATTAACTATCCAAATATCTACTAAACAACAAAATTATATACATCTCTAACAAGTTATTGTTCTGCTTTAGTCAGAAAGGTAGTCGCTAGGATGATCACGTTTAGTCATGCATTATGCTTTTCAGTCATAAATCTTGGTAAGCTTGATAAAAGGGACCATGACCCCTACCATAACAGGACCCATTTAATTTCACTCAATTATCCCAATATTTAACACTATATCCTGCACTAGACAAAAGTAGTGGTTCTCAACCTTTTTGATCCAATGGTCCATCTCCATCCAACCCCACTTTCCACCCCATAACTGACCTCCCCCTCAATCTCATGCACAGCCCCATAGTCCTGGCATTCCACCCACAGTATCTCCAGAGACCACTGATGGACAGCAGGCTACTGATTGAGAACCACTAGACTACTGTATTTCAGAAAAGCCTCCATTTGAAGGCATCAAACAATGGAGAATCTATTATCTCCCTTGGTAGCTGGTTCCAAAGATTAATCACCTTCGCTATTAAAAATATCATGCCTTATTTCCCATTTGAATTTGTCTGGCTTCCACATACTGGTTCTTACTATGTCATTCTCCTCTAAATTAATGAGCTCTTTAGTAACTCATATTTTTTCATCATTAAGGGACACCTTGAATCATTTCTGCAGTAATTTCCTATACCCTTTAATTTTTCAAATTTCCTTTTAAAATCTAAACACCTCACCTATACCTCATATTCCAATGTTCCAATGTTAAATCTCACAAATACAACATACAAATACAATCGCCTCCCTATTCCTACAGACTACTCTCTTTTTTTGTATATTCAAGAACCTTAGACTTTTCAATTTGGATTCAGAAATTCAGCCACCGAATCGAGCTGAATCTCTGCTGAATGGAATCAGTGACCGAAGCTTCACACACCCCTAATGCCTATCCTCCTTGTTATTCACCATCCACCAATATCTGTCATTTACCAATTTATATTTACTTCCAGTGATTTTAAATTTACTTCTGAATCATCAATGAAAATGCTGAACAGAAACAACACTAGTATTGGTGACTGTGGAACTACATTAGGAATGACTGAAATGCAACAACGATTTCCAACTAACAAATAATTTTTGAGATGTGTCCATTAAGCAATTCTTATTCCTTATTGATATTATGTAGTGCTATTTTTTTTTTTTTTTTTTTTT